GAATGATAATTTACTAAAGGCACAATTGCCTTACTGGCATAAAAGGAAAAATGGGACTACTTAAACCACATGTCTTAATTCCACATTAGAATGTTAAACTGCACATTGCTATGTGGCCTATACCATCTTGGACACACCAGCTTGTAAGTTTTCTTCTCAAATAAAAAGGGCATTTTTGCTGTATGATATTAAAAGCCCAGTTAAAGGATTTAAAATGTTTTAAGTAAATTCAAAAGGTTACTAAAAAAGATAGGCTAAAATTCAAAATGATGGTTCTTTGAGATCTAAAATTAAATACACCTTAATCTTGAAAATATACATACATACATACATACATACATACATACATATAGATAGAGAGGGGGATAGGTATATTTATCCACACATATCAAGGTACATTTAATTTCAAAATTTCAAAAAAAATTAATTAAAATAAAATACTTTTTCTGTTGGCAAAAAAAAACATAGTTTGCCTTAATAAAAAATATAACCTACTAAAAAAGAAACTACTCAAAGTTAGGGTTGGGGCAGGTGTAATAATCTGTCCTGTCCCTTTAAGAGACAAGCCACACCCACTCCCTTCCCCATTCCACCAAGGCAAGCTGATTTTCAGCTTTCAGTCTGAGTCCCTCCCTTTTCTGTCTCTCTCCCAGAGAAGTTGCTGCTGAGGCTCTTTTCCCCCTCCACCCTTTGCCTTTCTCTCTCTGCTTCTCCCCTTCTCTCCTTTCCCCTCCATAACCCACTAAATAAATATCCAACCTCACTCTGCATGGTGTGCCTATCGTCTGTCTCTTGCCCACCGCATGGCTTCCTGCCCAGGACTAGCTACCTTCAGAGACCTGTGGTGTGGCCTTGTGGCATGCCTATCTATCTGTCTCTCCTTGTGTGACTGGCTGCCCTGTTGCGGTCTCTCACCCACCACAGCTGCCTGCCTGGGACTTGCTGCCCCTCTAGGCTCACTACAGCAACTTGGGGAACTGCACTGTCCCTGCCTGGGACTGGCTGCTCTTGAGACCCGCTGCCCACTGCAGCTGCTTGGGGACCTGCAGCATTTTACTTAAACCATTTCAGCAGGGTTCTGTTTTTGTTTTTCCAGGAGACTAAAAACATTCACCTAAGGAATCTGGAGACCACTGGACAAATGAGACATCTAAAGGAGAAGGACAAACTGTTAAGAGAAAATATCCCAAGAAAAAGAGTAAATTGGCCTAGTGGCATAGCACACCCCAACAAGGTTGAATTTCACGAACCTTCCCAAACACTGTTTTTGCTGCTCTCTAAAATAATAAAGGCAGATTTCATTTCAGTCTCATGTCAGAAGAGCCTCCTGGTATGGATCAGAAGAAAACCAAAGTTAAGGGCTAACTATTGCTACTAATCTCATAACCCTTTAATTTTATTTTGACTCTTTAACACTTTCCTTAATAAATAAATATTATGGAGGCTGGAGAGATGGCTCAGCGGTTAAGAGCACTGCCTGCTCTTCCAAAGGTCCTGAGTTCAATTCCCAGCAACCACGTGGTGGCTGACAACCATCTGTAATGGGATCTGGTGCCCTCTTCTGGCCTGAGACATACACACAGACAGAACACTGTATACATAATAAATAAACTTTAAATAAATAAATAAATATTATCTCAAAATTGATAAGACTGTTTATATATATATATAAACACACACACACACACACATATATAAACACATTCTGCTGGGATATTAGTATTCATACAGAATACTAGCTAATTTTATAAATAAGTTTCATTTAGCTTTCTGTGTGTGTTTTTAGGTTTGAGTCTGAAGTAGATATCTAGGAACTAAGTTTGTGTACCCCAGATTACTTAGTAGATTGTGGCCCTATAGGCTTTCAGAGATCTGCTATCTATGCCGTCCAGCGGGACATGAACGAAGGGTCCCTGATAACCTGGAGGGGAGGAATGGAAGGGCAAGAGACACGAGAAATGACAGCAAATCAGGCTTTCTGATCAAGCTGCAAATTTTATTTTTTCTCAGAAGCTGTTATATAGCAAACAGGCAGCGGGGAGGGGAGGGTTTCAGGAAAGTCTGGTCTGCTGGAATTCAGGTCTGAAAGGTCTCTAGCTGAGAGAAAGAGATATTAACTAACAAAGGAGGTGCTAACTGCTTCTAAAGCCTGGAGCCTGTTGTCTCACTAGGAGATAAGATACCAGATTAATTTCCTAGGCCCAGAATTTATCCTGCAGAGGTGATAGAGGTGAATATTTTACTTAACTTGTAAATTTAAGATGGCATAAACAAAATACAAGCCTCAAAATACAGATCTTTGCTTCCGGCAGCTGTCTATGGCATTTAAAGTGTTTCAGTTTTCTGTAGTCAACTGTGACCATTCCTAACAGAGACCTTATGATCTCCAAAAAGATGATGGGACCCTGCAATGACAGATTCACCTGGACTGTGACAAACACCACCCAAAGATCAGTTTCAAACTACAAACTGTTCAGGACAACTTCAAAGCTGCTAGCTGAGAGGGTCCTGCCTTACAGACTACTCTTTTAAGACAAGCCCTGCCCTTTCCCATTACACAGAGACTGGACAACAAATACAGCTAGCTCTCCCAGGACTTGATCATTTTCTTAATTTTCTCAGGGTCCCCTAAAAATGCTGTCACCCCCAGGCATCGAGAAGTAAGTTTAAGAACATGATGCCCACATTCCCAAGATGTGGGGTTGGTGATTTTTGATTATTTGGTGGGTTATGGATGTTATTCTTTGGGTCCCTACCCTAGCCACGCCCACTCCCATAACCTCTGACCTGCCCGTCGCCATCTTGGGACCCTTCCTCTCTTTCTGCTTCCTTGGCGTGTGCACGCGTTTTCTTTTCTCTGTCTCTCTCTTCTTTTATCTCTCCTCTCTCCTTTTATCTCTTTTCTCTGTCTTTCTTTCTCCCTCTTCCTTAATAAATACTTATGGCTATTACCTGTGTTTACGTGTCTGTTACCTGCCACCACCGTGGGCCAAGGAAGCGTGCCCTCCTGTAGCTGCTTTCTCATGGCGGGCCCCGCCAACCCACCCCAGGAATCATTTTTTAAGAATAACAATGGATGTTTATCATCATTTAGAGGAGTTAATTGCAAATTGGTCATAGTAAGGGAGGTTGGATTCAAGGATCTCTTTCTGAAAAGAAAAAAAGCGAGATAAAGAAATGATAGAGGGCTGGAGAGATGGCTCAGAGGTTAAGAGCACTGACTGCTATTCCAGAGGTTCTGAGTTCAATTCCCAGCGCCCACATGGTGGCTCACAGCCATCTGTAATGACCTCTTCTGGCCTGCAGGCATACAGACAGACAGAACACTGTATACATAATAAATAAATAAATAAATCTTAAAAAAAAGAAATGATAGAATAAAGGGGTATGTTATTGATCTACTTTTAAACTAAAAACAACTATATCTCAAAAATATAATCTCAAATATTTTGCATTGGTATGAATTTTTGTATATTGACACAGATATAAGATTATTTTTGTTATAATAGTGTTATTCTTAAAATATTTCTAGATGTTTGCGGCACAGCTGCTAGCTCCAAAGAGACGGTTGTTGGTCCCCGGGGCAGGCTGGGGGAGCCGCCATGCGACAAAAGGCTACAGTTTCCCACCAGCAGGAGGGCACGCGCTGCGAGGGCTGTGGCAGCTGTAACAGACACATAAACACAAAAGATAGGCATAAAGGTAAAATATTTTTTACAGGAGAGAGGGAGAGAGGGAGAGAGGGAGAGAGAGAGAGGATAAAAGGAGAGAAAGACAGAACACATGCCCACGCCAAGAAAGCAGAAAAGGAAGGGGCAAGATGGTGGCGGGCAGGTCAGAGGTAATGGGAGTGGGCGTGGCTTGTCCCTTAAAGCGACAGGAAAGCACAACAAATAGTCTGTAAGGTATTGGAACTATGTAGCTCATTTTAAAATGTAATGTAAAGTTCTAGTCCTTGAAAGCTATTATTATAAATTATTTAGGATAATTAAGAAATACAGGTTAGTAGTTAGTTATATATAGAAATCAAACTTGAAGTCATAGTAAGTATGTTTTCAAGGTCAAACAGACATATATTTTAGATAGGTAGATGATCTTCAAATACTTCAGAGACCTACAGAATATCGCATGTAAGATGTTTTAATAACATAAGACTTTTCATGACAGAGAGACATGTCTGCTCTTGGCAGCATATCTACTTCAGAGAAGATGATGGGCCTTGAAGAACCTTCACATGGAGTTTTCTTTCATTATGGCAAAGTGAGCCACTGGGCAAGAAACTGCCCTTGCCTCCACTGCTGACAGTATGCTGTCCAAACTGGACAAACAAGACACAGAAGGCAACTGCCAAACAATCCTTCAAAAATTCCTGCTTTACAGGAGAGCCCTTCAGCTATGCTAGGCCTGTAAACTGAAGATGGATGCTCCAACATTGCAGAGGAACACTGGGTGACTGTCCAGGCAGCCAGATGTCTCCATCATTTCTGTAGTTTTGGAAGCTGTTTGCTCTGCCTTTCCTGATTACTCAGGCAGTCTTTTGTCCTTCTCAGGTCTCTGATGGAATTGAAGACTAGCTATTTGAGTTTTACCATTTTCTCTGTTACCAAACTAAAAAAAAGAAACTTACAAAAGAGATGCAAAGTTTATAGAGGTCGAGAGGCATAAAAGTTTACGTTGTTTATTTAATAAAATATTTTAAGGTCTAAAATGATATTTTAGGCTGATAATAGAAGATATGATAGAAAGTGGTTTAAATAGAAAATTTGGATTCATCAACATAAAATAGATATTAGAGTATTTTCTCTAAATTTGCCAAATACAAATGGACTGGACATTGTGAATGTCATTCTTTGTTTTGTTTTTCAAGTAGGGTTTCTCTGTGTAACAGTCCTAGCAGTCCTAGAACTAGCTCTTGTAGACCAGGCTGGCTTCAAACTCACAGAGATTCACATGCCTCTACTTCCCGAGTGCTGGGATTAAAAGCATGCACCATCACTGCCCCATGTGAATGTAATTCTTGCCTGATAATTGTTCTTGTTGTATATAGTTTTTACTGTGTTAGAGTGTTGGAGCCAAAAAAAAATGGTTCCCTTTCACCTTGATCAAAGGTCAGAGAGTTCAGGCCTATTCTTGCTCCTTCAAGGTTATGACAGGAGGTTTGTCCCAGGGTGTGGCTGCCTATGGGGTGTGGTTGCTGCATGTCCTACCTAAACAACAGAATACTAAACTCAGGATGTAGTTACTTGATGCTTTGGGTATTGAAGAGGTAATTACTCTGTTTGTTCTTTGTATCATGGTAAAGCCGTCTTTTGCCTTCTTCCTCTGTTTTGGATTGGAGTATATAAAGCATATAAAAAATAAACATGGGTGGATTCAGCATTCACTGAGTTGCCCTCCTGACTCTATCTTGTAATTCTGTCTATTTCTTTTGTTTCTCTGTTTTTTCTACCTACTATTTCTTAATCATCACACTTCCCTCCAAGCACGGACAAATAAGCCAGGAGGGACCCGGCTGATGTTGTTGGCCAGACACAAGATATGGCATTAGAGTTAAAACCTTTCCTTTTTATTTAGACAAAAAGGGGGAAATGTTGCAGGACATTCACACTGCAACACTCCAAGACTTTTAATAAAGTTAATCTTCAATCATGGGACAGAACCAGTGACTAGCTGACCAGAATTAGTCATAGAGAAGCCAGGAATTCGTATAAAGAAGATAAAAAGAGTAGGACTAGAGTTTGGTGCTTCTTTTGGTTCGGGGACAAATGAAGAGATGTGTGTGTCCTTTGTGTCTCTGGCCAAAAAGAAAGGTCAGCTGGTTGCTTCTCAGTTTCTCTGATCTAGCAGGTTTTCACCCCAACATCTGACTTCTGAGTTTTTATTGGTAAATAGAATAATAGAGACTTAATTTAAACTTACATGTTGCTGGGATTGTGGAATCAGAAGGTCATTCAGGATATAGACTGAGTGGCCAGTAGGGTGCTGACTCAGGGGGAAATAGGGCTGAAAAAAATAATTAAAATATCAGTAGATCCATTGCAGTCACTAAGCTGATAGAAAAACATCAAGTGAGTTTTAGGCCAGCCTGGGCTACATGAGGTCCTGCTTCAAAGACCAAAACACAGGTTAGTGCGATGACTTTGGTAAAGGTGCTTGTTCACCAAACCTAAAGACCTGAGTTTACTCCTCAGAACCCACTGGTGAAAGGAGAGAACCAAGCTGTCCTCTGACTTCCACACGTGCACCCTGGCACACTTGCATCTACACACATGCAAATATTAGTTAAAATAAAGCAAAATGAAAATCATTCCCAAGCATTGTCATCAGCGTGTGATTTGGGGTCAATCTCTTCTCTTTAGGAGCCTTGGGGTACTGTCTCCTTAGTTCTAATTAAGACCATCCCACAGGATTACCTCTTAAGATCCCCCAAAAAATATTTCCTGAGGTGACTGGTTCAAAAAGTGATGAGTATTTCTATTCTGTGAAATACTATGCGACCTTTCTCAAGGGTGGGATGGACTAAATCCTGATTGGACAGAGAGCTCTCCAAGACACACACACTGTGTAAAGAACAGAAGGTTTGCAGGTCACACTGCCGTGCACTGAATGCTGCAAGGCTGACATTTATTTTAATCAGACTTTTAACATGAATATGTGTTATATAATATGAAGTATATTTACATATTGTAGTATATTTACACATATCACATATGCTCATTTATGTTTCACTGTGTGTACATGAAAACCCATTGGAAAGACTCAATGAGGTAGGCAGGTTTGATGGCACATACCTGTAATCCCAGGATTCAGGAAGTGGAGACGCAAAGACTCAGAGTTCAAGGCCACCCTTAGGTACATTCTAAGACTCTGTGTCATTACTCCCTTGTCTTCTCCCTAAAAGTTTGCAAGGTAAGTCTGGAAGCAATACTTGTACACCCAGTGGCATTATTCATAAGGAATATGCAGAATCCACCCACCTGTCTGTTCTCAGGTGAGTGGTTATACAAACTGACATATACACACAGTAGAATATTATTCAGCATGAAAAAGATGTTTGCTGTTATTACTATTTGTTTATTTATATTTTTGAGATAGGGTCTCACTATGTAGTCTTGACTGGCCTGACATACATAGCTGAGGTTGAACCCCCATCTATATATGCAACCCTTCTGTTTCTCTTTTCCATGTACTGAGTTTTTTCCAAGTTTGCCACTCCCAGTAAAGAATGACATTTTGTCGCATGCCTCCCTCTGCATGGCTTGAGGACTGACCTAAGTGAGGCTGTGAGGGAATGAAGGAATGATAACAGACATATCCACAGAAAAGCTGGGGTCGTGTGGATTGGCCTCTCTGGTAGAGAAGCCACAGTACCCTGGAAACTCAGTGTGTGTGTATTATATACAGGCAGGTGGGGTTATTAGACACAGCTGAACAAGGAGGCAGGTTTAGATAATCTCAGCAGCAGTCAGCTCTGTTGGAGAGCAGCCTCCACGTGGAGACTTCTGGGGGAAGAAAGCTATGGTGGCCATTTTCTGCACACACCGTCAACATTTGCACCTTGTAGTGGTTTGGAGGAGAATGTCCCTCATAGGCTCACACATTTGAATGCTTGGATCCTGGGAAGAATTAGGAAGTGTGATCACGTTGGAAGAGGTGTGTCGCTGGGTTGGATCTTGAGATTTCAAAAAGCTACCGCCATCGTTCCCCTCCCTCCTCTCCCCTTCCCCTCTTCCTCTCCCAGCCTCCTGCTTGTAGATCAGATGTAAACTTTTTACTGCTCTAGCGCCACAGTTGCCCACTGGTTGCCATGGTCCTTGCCACAATGGTATAGACTCTCCAGCCCTCTGGAAATGTAAGCCCCTAATTAGACACTTTCTTTTATAAGCTGCCTTGGGTTAGATCTTACTGGAGACAGAGATTCTGTTTTATAAGAGGAGAAGGATTCTGGGGATGGGGACTAGCTTGGTCGTGAAGTGCATCCTGTGCAAACATGAAAACCTGGGTTTGAATTCTCGACTCTCCATCTGTAAGTCCAGTGCTAGGACATGGCGACAGGAGGGTCCCCGGGACTGGCTGTCCAGTCGTATGTATGGTCAAAACAGTGAGAGGCAGTGCTTCGAAAATAAGGTGTAGCAATTGAGGAAGACACTCAGTATCGTCTCTGGCCTCCACACTGGTGTACACACACACACACACACACACACACACACACACAAGTTCGTGATCTGCATGGACCTGTGCCTTTACATCTTTACATCTTTTGCGAGCAGGCAGCCCACCACAGCAGAGCGGGTGCTGGGCAAAGCCTTTCACCATAACCAGAATGACAGAGAAAAATGACCAGAACAACAGTCCCTGTGTTATGGTTTGAATGTGAAACATTGCCCTAGGCTCATGTTTTTGAACACTTGGTACCCATTTGGTGGCCCTCTTTGAAGGTCTAGCTAGCTGAAATTTGATGCTGGGGTCACCTTACATGTGCTATCTGCCTCTTGTCTTGTCTGGCTCTTTGTCTGATCAGATGGACCTCCCAAGGGACTCAACAAGCTCCTGATGCCATGATGGAACCCCAGATGCTGTGCCTTCCCTACCCTGATGGACAGGGCCCCGAACACACAGCCCAGATTAACCTTTTTTCTCATAAGTTCTTGCCATCAGGCATTTCGTCACAACTACAAGGAAAAGCAGCCAACTGCTTTACCAGGAACTCATTCCCCTAGGCCCTACCTCTCAAGGGATCCATGGGATCCCCACCCTACCATGCTCCAGACCCAATTTCCTTATCCGTTTGCAAGGAGAGCATCTGGTTAGTTCTGAAGGTCAACTCTGGTTGTGCGTCTGACAGGATTTAGAAGCACCTAGATTAGTAAAGCACATGCCAAGGCAAGAAGACCTGCTGTGAAATTTTGGCTCTCTCCCACAGGCTGGGAGCATGACTAGGGTAAGTCAGGGAAGGAGGAGCCCACCACAGGTGTTCTCACTCTGCCTCTGAACCACCACGATGTTAGGGGCTCTGCTCCAAATCTACACACACACATGCATGCTCTTTCACATTGGCATCTCGAGATGTCAACATCTTCAGAACCCTCCTCTTCCCTCTCCTGATGCCTCAACGCTTTACCTGGGAAAATATTGGGTAACCACCCCTCTACAGTTGTACTGACCTGGCTCTGCCATCTGCGAGTTTCATCGTCTTGGTCAAGTGGCATAAGCTTCCTAAGCCACAGTTTCCTCCAATGGAGAAATGAGACATTGGACAGCACTAACCTGATTGGGTTATTATGGCAAGAGAAGGCGAAAGAGGGGGAGAAGTGAAGAGGGGCGAGGGACTAGAATGACCAGCTTTCTCTCTACATACTGCTGGATCACAATCAGTGTTCAAACTCCAGTTTGCTTCCACCACGGCCCTCTGCAGTAGCCACTTTTAAGATGGCCTCCAGAGCCCTCACCCCTGGTATGCGCACACCTGTTGAGTTCCCTCTCACACTGAGAATACCTGGGTGGTATGGTCAGTAGAATAAGGGATGGATACACCTCGTGAGACGCTATGGTTCATTTTGTAAGTGTGCCCCCTGAGACCCGAATACTGAAGACTTGCTCCCAGTCTCTGGTGCTATTGGCAGGAGGCGGGACCTGGCGGGAAGAAATCAGGGTCTCTCCACCCTTCCAGGGCACAAATGAAGCTGACAACAATACTCATCTTACTGGGGTCCTGCCCACCACGGAGTGAGACGCTCTCTGTCTGTCACACCCTCGCAGCACTGTGGTCTCCTCAGCATGGGCTCTAAGGCAGCAGGGCTAAGCGACCATGGACTCACCTTCCGCCTTCCAAAACGATGAGCCTTGCTTCTTTGAGCCCTAGCTTCTGGTGCTGGGGGGCAAACCCACATGGGAGCAGCTGTCACAGACGTCTGTCAGGGCCATGAGCTACTTGCTAACAGTTTCTGAATTCACATTGATGATATTAATTGAAAATCAAATTCGGAAACTGACTGTGTCATGCCTGTAATCCTCGCACTTGGGTACTGACATCAGGTGGATCAGAAAATGGAGGCCAGCCTCTTCTACATAGCAAGTGGAAGGCTGATCTGGTTGATTGGAGACACTGTTGTCTAAAATAAACCAGTAACATCAATCCCCACTGTCAGGTGTATAATGAATCCGAAGTATTTCCGGCAGTGTTCATCCAGAACACTAGTTACGCGTCTCAAAACTTCACTGTGATCTTGGTTCTGACCATACAATCCAGACACATTGTAGTTTGCGTGCCGTCCACTACAGTGCTGATGGATGCTTCTTGAACCGCGCTGCTCAGGTTGGAGTCCTATGACACGCAGCATTTTTACTGTGCATACAACATGTTCCGTTGTTTGTTTGAGACAAGCTCT